GCGTGCGTGTGGGCTTGCGATTTGCTGCATGGCCTGTAGTTTGCACAGGCCTACCCTATATATCATCTTTGTGTCCAAATTTATCGACGATTATGCGGGGTTGATGCCAGACGTGTCGGAGGGTCTTGCTTTCAAGAAAGCAAGCCCTCGACCATCTGCGGAAGAAATCTGGCCCAGAGTGCATCTGGGAGTGTTGTCATATCAGCAGCCCTGGATGTAGAAAAAGCGCAACTGCACCAGTGCTGAATAAGTCGTCCCTCGAAACGCCTCAGGCAATCCCATTGCGTTTTTTATATCTCCGATTGGCGACGTGTTTCCCGTCGCACTGCACAGGGAATGGAGATTCTGGCTGTTAGATCCCGTCGGCACAACAGAATGCATTAAATAGGCCTCAGATCGTTTGTATAGAAATGAACTTGCCTCCCAACAAGACTGTAAATATTCGTTCTGGTGGCCGTCAAACATGGCAAAGTGCAATGCTCATTCCGTTCTGAACCCGGTCATGTGATGTTGGTGTGCTACAACGAGGCAGAGCGAAGCGTGGAGCATCAGTTCGTGTACAGGGAAGTAGATACCTCCTAACCCAGTTCGGATTTTGCATGTAGAGATTGTCTGTGTCTGGCATTTGTTATAAAGTAGCAGCTGAAATGTGGAAACTTGGTGCGGGGCGCCGTTGCAGGATGCTTGGTGCTTTTGTAATTGGTATGTTGGTCTCCTTTGCGCTGCATTTTTCTTTGCATCTAATGCCTCATGTGGTGCTTCATCTGATGCCTCATGTGCTCAACAAGCTCAATTTTTAGTGGTCACTGAGTAAGTGACCACCAAATATTAACCCTGTTGAGCACATGCAACGTGCCAACGCTTATTGTTTAGTGCATCTGCAAGTGGATTCTGCAATTGATACAATCGATACAGTTTATCCAAGGGAAGACCGTGCTGCTGGGGAACTGCAACTAATGGAACTTATGAAGATTTGTCAAAGAAGACGCCCGAATCATCATTGTAGTCACGAGCAGCTGATACATTCAAGTCAGCTAAAATAATACTGTCTTTCCAGAGTCCGGTGGCTTTGCCAACGAGGGACACTGCGCATTGTCCATGCTGCCTTGCGCTGTCTTCCAGCGGCGCCAGGGCCGTCACAGGGGCACGACTTCTGATGCCCAAGAAAATGAGCTCGAGCGAGACACATGGTGCACAAACGCGGTGACGGCGCTGAACTGAAACTCGACGCATGGGAGTTTCTTTGGAAGCGGTGGACTGGTGTTAGCGTCGGTTGGACAGCAGTCGACCGCGACGGCGTCGTCTGTCCACGTCAGGATCGTGCACAACGCGGATAGAAATCTCGCTTTTGAAGTGAATTTCCACACCTGTGCCAACGGAAGTCAACAATCGTGTGATCCATTGTTACGACCAGGGGGAACGTGGCACGCCTTCCGAGAAAGATGTCAACGCCGGGAAGGCCCAGCGCCCTGTATATCATGTCCCACGGCCATTATCACCTCGTGGAAGCATCCAACGCACCCAAGGCTACCCATGCACCTTTATTTCTGCTGCCAAAACCGACCACGACCCCGAGAGAGCTAGCTAGCGGGCGGATCGATGGTGGAGCTTCGCCTCCAGGAGAACGCTCATGACCTTTGGCGATTGAGACAGCCCGTCGTTGACCCACTGTTGGAACAGGCACGCACTCTAAGCCCCCGACTTAGTTTCAACAATACCCTGGACGGCGTCCGTCTTAGTTTCAAAAATCTCCTCGACGGAATCCTTGAGGTCACCGAAACCAAAGGCTTCTGCAAAGGCATCCCTCACAGCGTCGATTTTCTCGCGGAGCGTCTCCTGCGCATGCACAAACGGGCACGGTGAAGTGAGGCCCACGCTGGCAACGCCTGATCGGTGGCGGGGACTGCGCTGCACTGTTGTGCCCGCCACAGGCGAATTTCAACAATGTGGATTTCGCAACAGACTGTGCCTGCGCGGGGAATGCGGATGCGATGCGGGCAACCACGCCAGCGCCACGCCATCTGCGTCGGTACCAGCCGAGCGTGGGCACATGAGAGTGTGCCCGCGCTCACCCATGTGCTGTATCCCTCGCCATTTGAATCGAGGACCCTTTGGCCATGCGGTCGACCGTTGGCATGAAATCGCGCCACTCACCGGCTTCTCTTCCTCCTCTTCCTCCTCCAGCTCGAGCAGCACACCCACTGCCGCCCCAAAAGCACCGTTAACGTCGCGCTGCAAGTGTCAGAGGACAGGGCGGATCGACTCTCGCGAATGCGCCACTCGCCCAGATTTTCGGCACAAACGGCCCAACACGCTTTAACCGATGCAGCGGCGCCCGTCCCGCAAACTTCTGCAGGGTTGCGACCCGAGCAACCATGACCGCTGTTGCCAACGGGGCCATACACAATCGCGATGAGGCGCAAGTACGCGTTTTCGTGGACCGACTTCCTCACCCTGGGCTTCGCTCTCCCGCACCACGGCGGCCAGCAGCATGCACAGCAAGGCGCAGGCGATCCAGGCCTTCGCCATGGCTGTCTTTCTTGTCGGACCTTGCCGCGAGTGCCTAATTAGCTCCCTCCGCCAGGCCACGCCGTAACCCGACGTCCAGCACAGAGGGGGCCTCAGTTCAAGGCAACGGCTGACCCCTCGCTACTGGATCATCCAGCCACTCCCAACTTCGATCCAAGGCGACAGGACAGGCCGCGACCCGTCCTGTCGAGGCCAAACATCCGATTCGGATCATCACGTTTCCGAATCCTGCTGTCGTGGCTTGTTGGCCCAGTCCGGTGGTGGCTCTTGGCTTGCAAGCGGGTCTTCACAAGAGAGGCACCAACAATGCAAACCGCGGCCGTACCATATTTCAAGGATCGGGGCCTTTTACCCCAATGACACTGCTAGCAACAAACGCGGCCCTGTCGCCCACACATTTGTGTGCACGCTCGCTGCACCGTATTCATGTGCACGTTTTCACTCGCATTGACGGGCGAAAGTGCGGCCGGTCGTACTCACGCATACGCATTCGCGCTGGCTGCACGATGAACAGACCGCCTCCTACTCAACACGCCCAGCGCCGCCTCGCCTTCTTCGAAGACGACAAATTTTATGAGCAGTGGAATAGTGAGTTCGGCATGTTGAAGGCGAGTGCGCTCTCGTTCTTTTGTTTCTTGCACCCTTATCAAAAACCACCGAGCAAGGCTGCACTAGACTCGCAGCGTGCTCGCGTGTGAGTACAGCGAAGTCATATTCACGCGTGCTCATTTGTGAACATGGAGCACATGCCCCGTGAATTACAAGCCTGTGCCGGTCGCCACACATTCCTGTCAACGCATGTCGTCTCAGAGACGAAACTGGCGGCTGAAACGCTGGATAGTCAGGAGTGAGCAAAATTCGAAGATACAGACGGCAGAAGATACCTGGGCACCAAAGAGAACGCAAAGACTGGGACATCACCGTGTGGATGTGGATCAATGGAATCCATAGTTCTGCAATGAGTTGAAAGTTGGGTTCTCGCCCTGGCCAAGGGAGGCAAGCCGGCTGGTAAGCCTCATAGTGGTCGCTGAAAGACTGATTAATTTTCGTTGTGCGTTCGGTGATTGGGGTGTGGGAGGTGTTATTCCCTTTGGGAACACACCAACTGGGCTTGTCTGGGTATTCTGGAAGTTGTTGTGTGGGTATTGCAAACATTCAGTGAGCACGTTGTCCTGCACATATGGCGGCTCACCTCCGCGACAGCGATCAATTGCGCTTCACTGCAGTGAGAGGCTTGGTCATCGAAATTAGGACTCATGCAGGCATGCCGATCTTTCCTGATGCCTTCATGCGTGAGATACACTGTTTCGAATCGGACTGCCCTATGTGCAATATACACCTAAAATAGGGCATGTCCATGACCTTGAATACGCTCAAGCAGGCTTGTGGTGTTGCGGCTACATGTTACACCGGGGGTACCATGCATCAAGGTGTACTGTACTGTACTGTAGGTGCATGACCGCTAGCATGTGCATCCTGCCATGCCTGGCTCTGAGCTGTAGAAACGCCCCAGCCTGGCAAACCTGACAGACGCGAGTGGCCTGCATTCCCATGATGAGGATCACAAGATCATCGTTATTCAGCGTCTGGGAGTGCGACACTGGGACCAAGCCACAAACGCGCAATCCCCATTTACTTCCGGACACGAAGTCATGAAGATCGTTTCCGGGTTTCGGGTGTTTAGGGTGTCTAGGTCTTTTTAGATTTTTAGGTCCCTAGTGGACTTTACGACCTTCGCGACCCCTTCATGCCCTTGATATCCGGTAATGACGGGTGTCGGAGAATCCCCGACCAAGCACTGGAGCGCGAGCTTGAGCCTCCACTGCGTCGCTTGGAAATTGATGGACGCGTATACACAAGACATCCGCCCTTCACATGTCTCTGGGAAAAATCATGTTCGAAATTCCACAAGTGCAGGTAGCGTTCATGCGCGGTCCCTCTCCTTTAAATTTGCGCAGCAATTCTGTCTTCTGGAGAACAGAGTTAGAACTAATGGTTGCCCCACCATGCGGCACTGATGGGGTTGTTTCGAGCGCACAGCACCAGGAGCATGCCACTGGTCAAAGAATTCTATTTGGGGCGCCGACGCCTCTGTGCATTCCTTGAAGCCAACAAAAGCTGCTACAACTTCCAAAATTTGTCAACAACCTTCGCCAGGGCCACCCCCATCAGTACAGAAACTGATCACACCCACACTGCCTTCTCTCCTCGCCAACAGGGCGCCAGATATTGGTGACTGGCTCCTGACATGCAATTTCGAACGCTGAAACAGTGCAGTTTTCATAGAAACAAGGACAGCGCTCTGCAGCCTGGAATCAAAGTCGTGTTGACGTAGTTCAGAACAGAGGCAACTATGCGTCCTGCCCTTCAACAGCACCACACCGCAGTCTCCAGACACGACGCCAAAGCGCCACAAATGCTGCTATCCTGAAGACAGGACTAGATGAATCGATGTGAATCATTGACACTCATCAGAAGCCGAACACCTTGAATATGTCTCCATGCACGAAGTCATTGTCCACCACGCTCACAAGGTACCACTCATCCCGAATCGATTCCAGTACTTTGCGCCCTTGGGATCCGTCCTCATAAAGGGCACCCCACTCCGTCACCCACAAGTCAAATGCCTCATCCTTCCACACAATGAAGCTGCGTGGATCGACCACAGTGGGCTGCATGATCTCTTTGCCTGTGAATCACGGACAGAGATTGTGAAACTTGCAATGCTGTTTTACAAAAACAGCACAAGCAGCACATGACCTCCAGACGTCTCAAATGTATCGTGTGCAGGCTTGAATTCTGCAAGCCTCTTTTCCGCACAAGACAGCGCTGAAGTTTGCTGGGTGTACATGAGTTCAGATTTTGTTCTTGGCCATGAGTAGATGGAGATACACTTGGAGAAAGCTGCTGCATGTGTGGAGCACACATCATCGATAACAAGGGTGCCATGACATGCACCTACTTTCCAACGTATGAAACAACTGTCACCCTCAGCTTCTGAATCGTCATAAATATTGCCTAACATTCACAATAGAAGGAGATGGCAGCCACCAGATTTCCGGTGGTAATTTTGGCACACTCCGCTAAAACAAAACACTGCTTGATACACCTGGAACTTCACCTGGAAATACACCCCAGGTGACAGCATTCACGTCACCATCTTCCAGTGTGCTGTGGAGGTCTCCTTTGGAGTTCACTGCCATGTAGCTGATAGATGGGGCGCTGCTCAGCTGCGGCTGCAACTTGGAGAAGCCCTCAGGCGAGACGAAGAACTCGATGTAAGCCTTCTGGTAGACATATCTACAGTCCACAGCACAATTCTGATAACATGGCACTTGCAACAAAACCAGTGATGTCTCCCAGGGCAGCCACTAGGCCAACGATGTTGCAAAATACTTAGAAGGTGCAGAGAAGATGCCTAGCTTTCATGGTGGAGTGCCGTGATACAATCACAGATGCCATCAGCACAAATATAAATTGCACACTTCCGAAATTGCTTAGCAACTCACCAGCATCGTCGATCGCAGATACTTCAGGCGGCAGCTACTCCAGTGCTTCTTGCACAGTAGTACAAACGGGAATCCGCACTCACAGCACCACTCTCACGAATAAAAAAGGCACTGATGAGCCACTATTGTAGGTCTTTGCGGTGGACTACTAAACCGGACTATTCGATTCCACTCACGTTGAAACAGTCACCAGCTGGAGGAAAACTTGTCAGGCACCACACCTACCCCCCTGGTCTTCCCCAGCCGAAGGTGCTGTCAGTGGAGGGTGTGCCATTCACTCTGGGCTGGGAAGTGATGGTCAGATACCCCTTTTTGTTCAGCTCCTTGAGTTTCGGCACAATCTCCGCAGACTCTTTCTGCATGGTGTCCATCTCGTTCCAGGGCAGAATGTTGATCTCGCCCTTGCAATAGCTCAAAAACACTTCCTTCACATCATCAATGCAAGTCAGCACATCGCCCCAGGCCTCCCTGGCCTTCTGTGCCCGTTTCTCGCTGCTGGTGTGTCGCCGCATGAACTGGTAGTCGTTGAGTGTGCCATACGCAGGACTCTGGGAATCACCCCACCTGCACACAACACACCCAAGAATTCATGCAACAATCTCCAGCACTCCACCCCAGTTCTGGGTATCCTTTCTTCGGCTTCACACCAACAGGTCTGCCTTTCAGCTCAGTGGACCTGGCTTGCATGACTGGATGGGCAAAAAACAGTAAAGGTTGCTGAGATTATGCCATTCTGTCTGGAAGACCGTTGCCACTTGGAAGTGCCTGAGTGTGTTGAAATGCATGACTGAAAACAATTCAACTGGATGTCACAGTTTCGCCCTTGATGCACTGCAGTAGGAGCCCCAACATCCTAAAATCAGGCACACTCTCCTCTCCTTTCATGAATCAGAATTAGAACTACTGAAACGCATGAATCACGACCATAGTCATGGAAACACAGGCGACCGGCATGTGCCTCAAGCGAACCATAGTACCAGACAGCTTGTTTGTTTCACAGCCTGCTGGCGCCTAGGAGAACACTGCCAACACCCAGGCTGTGGCAGCACAAGCAGCACAAAACAATGTGGGGTCCATGAGCTCTCGCAGGCATTATATGCTGTGGACTTATTCCTGCCACACATGAGCATGCTCAATCAACACAGTGCAGCAGTGTGCTATTCTACTATGGAAAACCCACCTTCCGCTGGGAAAGGCATCCCAATCAGCAGTTCTCTTGATGTAGCTCTTTGGCCTGTTTGACCAAAAAATAGGTCGAACAGCCTCTCCACTCCTCTGCACATTAGTTGGGGGCCGCCACGGCAGATGCCTGGGCAGATTGTTTCGGTCCACCAATTCCATGTCCTCCAAGATGCTCACAGCACTTTGCTGCAAATTCAGGGTGTACATGTGCAGACCTGGCACCCCACTGTCCAGCAACAGGCGACACATCTCTGTGCCAAGCTTGATTCCATATTTCTGCAGATCCCAACAGCAGAAAAGACACTCCATCACAAGGAAACAGATGAGGCATCACATCGAAACTCAGGCAGGCATGTTGGTGGCAATGAACTGTTCATCAAGGCACTGCATCTACTCGACAGGCTTCTGAAATCGTTATCTAGCCAACCGTGTCTCTTCTGGGAGTCCTACAAGTCCATGCTTCTGTCATTCTTGTTTACTGAACAGCCAGCAGCCATTCAGTTTACCTTGATAGCCTCATCGTTGTCCTTGATGGACTCGAGTGTGTCAGTGATCTTCTGTGGCACCTTGGTTTTGCAGAAGCTTGTCATGCGTTTGAAACCGCCATACGTCATGATTGGCATAATCCCTAAACACACAAGCAGGAGCAACTGTAAATACAGCAATGCAGAGCTTGAACTCAAGCCTGCTGAGAATTGTCCTTTCACAGCTTCATTGGGTGCCTCATTGCCACTTCAAGCAGGACTGATCAACCTGCAGAAAATAGAATGTGTTGCGGGAACAAACGAACACCATCAGTGAGCCATTTCAAAGGTACGTTTGAAGGATTAAATACTCGAATCCTCGTTGGCTACATCATTGCTAACCTCTGTTGGCAAATATCTGAGTTGGCAAATGTCTGAGTTCTCTGGCTATGTACAGGATTAAGTAATGAAGACAAGCAGGGACCCATCCACAACAAGTGATCTAAACAACAATGAGACCCAGGCAGTACTGTACTTATTGAAACCTTTGACAGAGCTACAAGTTGCTGGGCCACTTTTGCAGGGCAGTGACATAACAACAGCACAGCTACTCCACAGACATCCAAACCAACAAGACTCTAAACAACAAGCGACACTAAATTCTGATATGCATCAGCATCTCTGCATCGGTCCCTATGCTTGGTTGTGTGCCTCATCCAGGGCATGCTTGCGCAGGGGTAGGCACTGATGGGAAACGATCCTGCTTGAAGGGAGGCCAAACTCTTATGTACCACATGATGGAAAATACTAGTCATTGAACTCAGTGCTGCAGGCCATTCTTGTAGCAAAAGAAGTTCCAAATCGCACTCTCCAAGACCCATGTCTGGCCATTCGCAGCCAGGGCAGCAGTTCAAACGATCAATAAGGATGCACTTGTGTTGCTCCACATGGTTGCCTAGACACAGCACATTGCACAAGGCAGGTGTGCCCTTCCCATCCTGCCTGTTTGAATAGTGCCCAATCATCCTCACAATTGGCCACTTGCATCGATCGACAGCATTTCAAGCAAGCCTTCAAACCTATACTGGTCCATAGGGTAGCCCATACATGGTCCATAATTTGCTTGAAAGGCTTGCATATACATAGACTCCATACATATCCAAGCCTTTGCAGTGCTGTACAGGGGGCATCACCTCTCTATCATCTCCTGTTGCCTCTAACAGCCCGATGCTGAGCATAAGAAATTTGTGTCAACACTGACAAGGGAGATTGCCAAGATATAAATCCCTTTAAAGGGAAGCTCAAACTTCGAAATGCCCAAGAGTATATTAAAATACAGTACCTTTAGCTATGGGACCCTGGGGCACACTGCCAACCAGGCTCAAACTCACCTGGAATGATGGGCACAGTGATGTCCACTGACCGGCAGTCTTCCACGAACTGAAGGAACAACCCCGTATCATAGAACAGCTGGGATATGATAAAGTCGCCTCCAGCATCGACCTGGACGAATTGTGACATTGAGAACATCACCACCAAAAGTGAACACAGCGTGTGATCATGGTGAGTTGAAGCCATAACACGTGGAACACCAGACAACCACAAATTCACATGTAAAGTGAGGGCATAACCACTCAAACAACTGCTAGTCCATGCCCTCTTAGTAAGGTACCATTCAGGCTTCAAAGCGATCGCCATGCTCAAACAGAGCAACCAGAAGTACTCAACCCCATTGTGTTAACAAGCAAAAAGACACAAATGGCAGATCTGCACAGTGTTACCACACACATTCTCGCAGCTCTTGCACAGTTACAAGAAAACATCAAGAGCGTCATCATTCATTGTTCAAGGTGCAAACCACATTCCTGGGGATGGGGCAACAACACTTGGACAAAAGTGCATGTTGCCAGGGGACTCACCTTTTGCTTGAGGTAGTGGATGTCCCTCCAATAGTTCTCTTTCATTTTCTCCTCATCGTCAACAATGCTGTCTGGATGTGCCTCGGGATAGCCAGCAATCCCAATACCAAAGTAGTCTCCGTACTCCTTTCGTATGTGCTTGATCAAGTCAAGCGCGCACGCAAATCCCCCATCAATGGCTGTGAATGTGTCCTGTCCTTCTGGGGGGTCTCCTCTGAGGGCAAGAATGTTCTGGATGCCTGCCTTCTTGACCTAAATGCTTCCACACATGCACACAGGGGGATCAGGGGTCTCAAGAAACAACGAATCTGCTTCAAGGATCAACGTTCCACCAAAAAAGGAAGCAATCAAACTGGTCAACCTGCGTTGATGATTCATGCACACCAATCAGATGGCAACGTGAAACTTTTTGTTGGGGATTCCTGCACATTCAAATTGCACTCAAGGTTTACAGGCACCTGCACAGCAAATCAACAGCCCAAACCTAACCAAAACCTTCAGTTTGGCATGCACAGATGTATCAAAGGTTGAGCTCACCTCTTTGAGAGCATTGTTCAACTTCTCCACAGGCATGTTGGTGCATGTCAGGTGCATCATTGTCTCCACGCACACCTATGCGCACGACATTGAGAAGCACTTTGACAACTTGAAACATTGTGCAGCGAATGCTCACCCTGTTGAAAGCACACCCAGGATAACAGCGCCAGCATTTGCACAGCCCCTGCTCCTTGCACCCAGCCATTAACATGCTCAGGCTGAGTAGTGGTTGGATAAGAATAAGAATGTGACCAGCGTGCAAATAAATTAGCAACAGAATCCATAATAAGATAACCATCGCTGCTCTGATGTTGCATCAACACCGCCACTGTCGCCATGAAAAGGGAGCAAAGTGTACCTGGGACAGTGGTGGATGCAAGGGTGGCTGCCAAGAGCTCGAAAGAGTATTTGGCTGGGGCATTTTGGAGCACAGTCACACTCACCATGTTTTGCATTCGAGTAGCAATTTCCAGAGTGAGTTCGGCCGTTGAACCACCAGCTCCCCAAGTGATATCACAAAACAGGGGGCCAAATGCCGCCATCCGATCCATTCGATCAAACAAGTTCTCCACACCCTGCATGCACACAACACACATGAACTCTTTGTCGTCTGTGGTACATTCAGGCTGGCAGCATCAGCGGCCCCCCAAGATGCCCTCATTACTCCCAGTAGCATCGATGAAACAAAGTTGCTCCCTGAAGCTTGAATGTATGGATGTGCATGGCTTGCAACTATGTCACATCAACGGCGCAACACCCCAAGGGGCACACGCGACAGATATGCAAACAAAGAAACGCGATTACCGTGCACATACTTTCAACCAGGACAGTGTCTCAAGGCTATTACCCATCCATTGACAATGCCAGCGTCCTGTATGGGTACGAGAGGGCGATGGACCCCAAACTTGCTCAGTCACTTGCTAGGATGTTGTTTGAAACAATGGTCAAGTCCCTGGCGCGAATTCAATGCATTCAAGGGCATTTGCTTGACACACCAAGCGCAGTGATAACTGTTGACGACCATCGACTACACGGCGACAGACGAGCCATCGACGCCAAGCCCCAGGCCACGCGCGATTCTTGTATTCCTTGCGGATGGCGCCAGGGCGACACGATCCCCTACCCCTTCTGTGCGAGGAGGGAAGTACTCGAAAGAGAAGAACGTCCGCCCCTCCTGCGTGGAGGCGTTCATCTTGTCGATGATCTTCATGGCTGCGGGCGGCTATGAGGTGGCTGCGCAAGCTGTCGGTCGTCGGTGTGCACCCAAGACAGGCGCGCAAGCGGCCCCGCGTCTCAGCCTCCGTGGAGAAGGGGCCAGAACAGAAAGGCAGCGCTGCCGGCAGCCTTCCTTCGGCACCGGCTGCTGCCGCCAGGAATGGACGAACTGGGGCAGCACCCACGGGCATGAAAATGGATTCAATTTCTGCACATCTGGAGCTGCACACCGTGGTGAATGTCGCGCGGCACCATGAACACATGGCCTTTTAGCTGACGATAGGGGCTGCAGGGCGCGGCGTACACCAGGCGTAAACGCGCTCAAATCGCGACGGGCAAGGTTGGGGCTCTACGCGCAGCACTTGCGCTTGCGCTGCGGCGACATCACCATTGCATGGACGGCAAAAGCGCTGTGCCAAACACAAGGACAATCAACCCTTGCTGACTTGCAATGTGTCGCCGTGCAATGGTGAAAGCATCGTGCATTTCATCCGGGTTGTAAAAATGTCGCTGTCAGGCGTGTTCGAAGCACAGGCCCTTTTGTTGCATGTTTCGTTGCATGCTGGAGCTGGTCCAACCTAGAATGACAACGTCAGGCGTTCAGCCGGGGCGATGATTGGACAGATCCACGGCTGTCCAGCGTGCGAAAATGTAATGCCATATTACTTTGGCACGCGGCCGTGGTTGGGGATGCAACATTCGTTCTTGTCATTCTGTTCTTGTGTGACGGGCTGATTCTCACAACCATGCCACATATTTGTTGACCCCTTGCAACGAAATAGAAAGTTAAGCGACCCCAATCCTCTGCAATTGAGCTATATGACATTGGGCTGCGGCCACAGATAAGAATTGCTTCTATCCCTCGTTCGAATGTCGGTCATGTCTCATGATCTCCTTCCTCTTCACACAACGCAATGGAAGGCCAGGGTTCGATCTTAGCATTCCCATGCTTTACTCAGCTGCACCAAGGCGATGTAGTGGATCCAAAAATTGATGTCGATGCTGATAAACCACAGAATCAGTCTCGATGGAAGTGGAGCGTCCAATGTCTGGAGCTTCAAAGCTCCAGACAGAACCATTTCATTACTCTTGTCAATTCCTTCAGCCTTTGCCAACATGAACTTCAAGTCCCATAAGCTGCAACACATGATGACGATGAGGCACAGCGCCAGAACTTGAAAAGGTCGCTAAATTCCACATACTTGCGCTACATCATATTCTAAAACAACACTATTGAAGAAAAGAGCAAAAGAGCAATGCAGCTATTGAAACGAGCTAAAGAGCAATGCAACTATTGAAAAAGGAGCTAAACAGCAATGCATCTATTGTATATGTGGACACTGTCTGCTTCCACAAACACCACCAATTCTGATTTGCCACCTTGCCACCTCAATCCTATTTAATCCAGGAAACACATGACTGTTTGCATCAAGTATTGTGGATGCCCTTTGTTCACAATGTTACTGAGCCCCACAATGTAGTGAGAACTCACTGGCCATGAGAGATTTGTGGTACCAGCAGCCGTGTTAGTCATAGCAGGTCAGATTATTTGCCAACATGTGACTAGATCGGTGCAGTTGCAGATGCTCCTAGCCAGTACCCTGCATTACTGCAGGCTGCCTCATTCAAAGGCTGCCTAGGCTGCTTTATTCACAGCTATGATATCTTCTTGTCAATCAGACAGCACAGCACATGCACCAGACATTCTTACCAATGGCAATGTGGTAAAATCATTCAGTGCTAGTCAACGTCCACATTCGACATCGCACTGTGCTTCGTGCACCAGTCTCTAGTTTTGTATTCCAAAAGTGTCCACAGGCAGCAAGCCATGAAATCTCAACTCCAGGCACACCCACAAGTGCCAGCAATTTGCAGCACTTAAAAAGCAAAAGATTGATCACACGATCCCAGGCATCTTGTGCACTCGAAAGGCTTTCTTTGCTGCAGGTTTTCACAGTCCACCCTTGCCATTTGTCCGCAAGACTTCACTCCACCAGACCGTCACCATCCTGATACACCAACCTGTACTACTCTGTTCTGGTGGCTGCACTGTTGCCTGTGTTCACAATCAGAGCTGAAGTGCACAAACTCGCCAAATTCTCTGCCTTTTGATGGCAAGCTGGCCATGGATGCCCTGCAGTACAGCCTCACATAGGTGAGGCTTCTGTTGCGCACTCCTCATGGAGGCTAATGCCCTGTTCCGCTTCTCATGATTCCTTGGGTTCGCGAACACATGTAATGGGCAGGTCGCTACAGGGAAGGCCTGTTAGATATAAGCTCTCATCAGCCCAGATGGCACTCTGCTCACCTTCACACTTGATCAATTGTCTTAAACAAGTTTGGCAGCAAAGTAAGGACCGTGTCCAGCCAATTTTCCATGCCTCCAGAAGCACCAGGGTAAACTTAGATGCAGCGACTTACACCTCCAGTGAGGTGCTGAGGGCACCCTTGCAGAAGCAACACACATCAGGTGGCCAATTCCACAACCAAAGGAACTCCTTCACCTGTCCTCAACTGGAAGGTCATGGCACGAATTGGCAAGACCAGGCGGCGTCGCCACAGCCATATTTGTGCATGTCTGCAGTTTCTTTCTGTTCCCCTCTGCAGCACCAATACCATAAAGAGCTCCCTTGGTAGAGAGGCCACCTTTCAGCTGTTGGGATTTCCTGCCCGCTCCAAGGCCAGGCGATCGCCATGATACCCAGATCGGGCACGCAATACGCACAGTCTATTCATCACGCAGTTTGCCGAATCCTTGGTATATACCCCCGTCCACGTGCCTGCTGACCTCAAAGACATTTGCAACATCCCCTCCAGTCACTCTGTAGCTTGGTGCTTGCTACCTCCACGACCTGAAAGAAACCCAATCAACAAAAAGACATTGGCCACGCCGATCATGATCCACTTCAGCTGACAACAGGCGGAGCCCAGCTGCGCAACTTCAGTGATAACGGTGCCCTTCCACGCGCACGCAAAATGGCATGCGTTCTCAATCCAGTCAGCCAGGCCCCCGATCAGCGGAAGGGCCGCCAACGACTTGCTTCGGCGCCACAGTTTGCCCATTCCCGCCGCCTCCAGCGCCACGTAGCTGGGCACCAGCAACAGTGTGTCCACTACCTCCGCCAAAAAGAACCAGTTCATCCCGCCCTTCCTCCCGTATGCAGAGATCCACCGGCGCAGCTCACTGGGCGCATAGCCGAAACGAAAATCCGGGAGGGGAGCCCCGGCCTGCTGCGACGCGTACTTCTCCC